CCACCTTGCGTTCCTGCCATGGTTTCCTGAAAGTCCCAGATACCTTCTTATTGATAGAGGTGATGAGCTGAGCTGTGTCAAAGGTAATTTACAGCATTTAAACTTTCTCTGAAACTTCAAAAGGTCACAATGGCTATAGGGGACTCCCCCCCCCTTTTTTTTTTTTTTTTCAGTTATGCCTTTTGGGTTGAGCTTTTCCCATAGTTACCTTACCTGGAAAAATGTGGAACTCAGGAATCTGTGATGGATTGTGAACCTCTTTTCCTTTTTTAATGCTTCTTCTTTCAAAGCATTGTTGATGAACCTAGGAGTTTTCACCTGTCCAAAAAAAAGGATTCCTAGTGAGAACAATATGTCTTGTGGAAAGATCTTCAACTATCTGTTTAAAAGTAGTCTGAAGAAGCTTTGTTACTGGAAGTCTCTGGCCAAGGTTAAGTCTATCAGAAACGACGAGAGAGGGAAATTCATAGGAAAAGGTGAAATCTTCTGTTAGGCTACAAAAAAAGCAAGCAGATAAAATAGGGAAGTCTTTAGGGATAGCCATGTGTTGCCTGCAAGTTTGTCTCTTTTTCCCCCCTCCCCAACCAATTTCATCTGCTTATCTGATAAAATGCCTCTTTACCTTCTTTGCCACAGACACAATCAAAGACCATCACAGTGGCAGAAGCACAGTAACTAAAATTGCCATACAGAGTTAATCCTATCTAAATCCTACATGGACAAAGTGATCTTACTTTTACTTTTGGATTACCTTTCTTTTAAACATAATTTTGTTAATGTAAGTGAAGCTTGCGGGCCCCATATCATTGAAATCTTTGCCTCATTTTTTTGACAGCATGATCAAACATTACTTTTATGTTCTTTTGTGTTTTTTTTAATTGCTTGAGGTTTTTGTCTTTTTCAAAAATTATGGTTGCTCTTGAACTGATTCTGAAGCATGGCTAGAGCCTCAAACACCTTACAGTGTTAGCAATAACAATAGCACTGAAAACTTTCTGCTTTCAGAATCATCAGAGTTAAAAGGCAAATGGCCACTTGTGTTTATTCTTGAAGACTTTAGAAGAGCTGATTTTGTAGAGATCTTTTAGTTTTGCATAATAATGAATTTTGTTCATTACTTCCTTTAGAAGAGTTATCCATCCTCTTTACTGTAGTTCATTAAACTAATTCCACTGGCAAAATTTAAGGCATGGACATAGCAAAAGATTTGGTATAAGCCTATAATTTAAGCAAAAGATTTTAAGGTGCTTGTGAACACCTGTTAGAGGCCTGTGATTCAAATATAAAATATTTCAAAATATTTACTGAGCTAAATACTTTTAAAGTAAAATAATCCTCCAAGAAAAGCAAACACAAAGAAAAAAAGTGAAATCATGTCAATGAAATGTCCAAACCCACAAGAGCAAAAATTAAGTAGAAAGAATACCCTTCATGGTGGAAAACTGACAAGCAAATACCAAGTCACTAACCAAATGGCTTTTTCCACAGCATCCTAAAATAATATTTCTCATATCTCAGCAAAGATCAGGCCATTACAGAAAAGCATGGTTTTCCCAAAGTTATTTTTCAGTAGCTAAATGTACAAGACTCTAGTAACTTCTCTTTATTAGCTTTGAAGCGATTTCATGGCTCTTTACACTATCAAATTGAGATGGAAGACATACAGCGGGAATGTTTTGCCTTGAGTGGAGAGAAAGCCAAGAAACCCTGGCAGTTATTCACTGATCGTGGTGTGAGATGGCAGCTCATTACTGTGATTGTGATGACTATGGGCCAACAGCTCAGTGGAATAAATGCTGTAAGCTTTCATACTTGCAAACCTAAATAATTGTGAATTTCCTTCTGTGTGTTTTTTTTTTAACCTTTTCTAACCTTTTACTAAAATGAAGGATCCATATAGAGAAGCTCAGAGATGAGGGATAAATAAGAAAGAGTGCCTTTGTTTTATTCAGGTTTATTAAATTGAAACATATTTTTTCCCTTGTGTATTTGCAAAGGTAATAGTTAATTTGTTTTGCTGAATTTCAGGAAGGGTTTTACCAAATCCACAAAGTGGTGTATAAATTTGTTTCAGCGGGGACCAAATACTTGTGTTTACATCTTCATTCTTCTGAGGAAGTAAATAATGGTGGATCAGCTTATCCTACAACATATAGCTTAAGAAAGATGATGTGAAATATTTATATTTGCTTTTAAGATAATAACCATATTTACCTACACTGTAAATTAATCTGATGCAGGTAAATATTATATATAATAAATCACAATATACTTTATATTCATGTATTTATAGGTTTAGTATGATCTTGAATTTGTCTCCAGCTGATGATTTAGCTACTGGAAATGTCTTTAATATTTCATATATATAAAAAAGTATGTATGTATTCTAGATTTATTTCTATGCAACCTACATTTTTAAACAAGCTGGGATCTCGACAGAAAAAATCCCGTATGTGACACTAGGCACTGGAGCGTGTGAATGCATCACAGCCCTCACCTGTGTATGTAACTTTTTTTTTTTCCTCCCTTAAAGCAAAATTGCTGTTCTTCATGATCAAAAAATAACATTGGTAAATATGTGGTCAGTGTTGAAACAAAAATTCTTGTCTTGTCCATAGGGCTTACTGATTGACCATGTGGGAAGAAGATTTCTCATCATTGGAGGATATCTCCTTATGACCCTTTGGAGCATTGTTTTAACATTCTCCCTGACTTATCAGGTGCAAAGAGGGGCAAATTTATATTACATAATATGACAACAGTGACTAAAGATCTGTGCTATTCCAAAAAAGTAGTCAGGATGAGAGCTGCATAGATTTAAACAGCAATGAAAATACTAGATGGATTTTGATCAATTCTAGAATATTTTCCTAAAATAAGGAAAGTTAAAGTTTGATCCTGTAGTTACAGCTATATGTTAAAAGTTGTTTAGCTTAAAGTTAAAATTAAGTAATGACAAAAGAGCTTTTATTTTTTTTAAGGAATTTTAGGATAACATACTGTATAGTGAGATTGAGCATCAGCCTGCTTCAGTTGCTTGTAAAACAAACAAAAAAGTTTTTAAGGATGTTGAGGTACAGAATATACTTAAGCCTATTAAATCAGAATTAAATTTTAATTCACGAAAACTGCAAAAGACTCATTAGAGGTATTCATAGTGCCCTAAATTCACCATGTAATTATGCTTTTTGATATAGTGTAAGGAAATGCACCATAAATTGATGTGCTTACTCTATCAGGTCAAGTAAGGCAGTCCCACTAGCTGCCTGAAATGAAGGTTAGAAGTAATGTATCTCTATATTTCAAGACCATGCTCTACTATATACTTACCATGTGATGTTAGGGGGCTCCATTGTTACCTTCTCATAATCCAAGCAAGGTCATGTAGGTGCATCTGTCCAGGAGCCTGTCAAGTGTAAGTGTTTTACGGCTTCTTTCAGGAAGAGTTCCAGCAATGAGGTAGCATTGAAGAACTTTAAACCTTTCCCCATGAATGTGGAACTGCTGGAGAGTCCAGCGCAGGGCTACAAGGGTGATCAGGGGCCTGGAACATCTGCCCTGTGAGGAAAGACTGATTGAGCTGGACCTGTTCAGCTGGAGAAGAGAAGGCTGAGAGGGGATCTAATCAGTGTATATAAGTTCCTCAAGGCAGGCAGTGAGCAAGATGGTGCTGGCCTCTTTTCAGTGGTGGCCACTGACAGAACTAGAGGTAATCGCCACAAACTGAAGCACCAAAAGTTCCGCATGAACTTAAGGAAAAAATTCTTAACAGTGGGGGGTGATGGAGCACTGGAACAGGCTGCCCAGAGAGGTTGTGGAGTCTCCTTCTCTGGAGATCTTCAAACCCACTTGGACGCAGTCCTGTGCCACGTGCTCTAGGTGACCCTGCGTGTGCAGGGGTTGGACTAGATGACCTCTAGAGGTCCCTTCCAACCTTAAGCATTCTGATTCCCTATCCGCACCACCAAAGCTTAGAGTTCACATTGAGCAGGTGTGTGTATCATATGTGGTCACATCTGTGGTCTGATTCTTTGAAGGGATGGTAGGTCTACAGGCTGCACAGGTTGGCAAACAGGCCACAAAAGTGACATCTGCCATATGGCTATGAGGTTGGAGTAGAGTAAGCTGCTAGGACAGGCAAAACAATTGACAGTGGCTAGACTTAATTATTCTATTGCAACTTTTGTAAACTGCTTTTCTTTTTTAATAATGATGCTTGGCCTTAGTTGCAATAAAATAGCTGTGAGAAAGTATTAACTGCTAATCCAGGCCTAGCAGCTTGAACACTGGGTAATCAAAATCTGAACTGAAACTTTTCATTGTCTTCTTTTCCAGGAACTGCATTCATGGGTGCCATATGTGAGCATGACATGTATATTTGCCTTCATTTTGAGCTTTGGGTTGGGACCAGGTATTATGCACTAATAAAAGTTTGTAAGTGGTGAGATAAGCATTTGGGTAAAAAAAAGTTGGAAACTCTGCTTGCAAATCAGAGGGGAAGTATTTACTCTAAGGCTGCCGAAGCTCTGGCTAAGGGAACAAATGTGGATCCTATCTCATCAAAATACAGTGGCATCATATAACCCAAGGCGCACAGTTCATTCTTCTTAGCACCAGTTAGACATGAGGGAAGTAGTCTTAGTTCTGGCCTTTGATGTATTCTAGTCACACAAGAAAAGCAAGAAAAAAACTGTTGTACTTTTAAGGGGATGCTAGCTCCTTGAGCAGTCCCACCCTACTAGGCACACTTCTTAGAAGGATATGTACATGAGCAATAGATTCATAATTTTACAGTTAACGTTTTGAATAATTTAGAAAATCAGCTAGTGAAATACTAAAAAAAGCCTTCTTTTCAGCTTCAAACATACCCTGAAAATGCATACTTAACATGATTACCCGTTGTTTCTGAAAATGATTCTCCCAGGTGGCATAACAAATACTCTGACAGCTGAATTATTTATACAGTCTTCACGTCCTGCTGCTTACATGATCGGAGGAACTATTAGTTGGATTAGTTTCTTCACAATTGGAATGCTCTTTCCCTTTATAGTGGTAAGTAGCTACAATACTTCTTTTCCCCTTACTCTTCTCTTGCTTTTCCTCAAATTGTTTTTTATTATACAGTACCATTTAAACAAAGGACATGCACAAATTCTCGACAGCATATCTATATTCAGTCCCTCTTAAAGTATTTTTAGATATCTGAACAATAATAAAACATGGCAAAATAACTGGATGTGCTAAAACTAGGAAAACATAACAAGTTGCTGAGTTTCAACATATTTTTAAACAACTTCTCTTGCTACTGTGTCAAAGTAGTAGTAGTAGTAAGTCACATAACAAAGTAGAAGTATGTGACATTTAAAAAAAACTTTTAATAAAAATTTGTCAATTTATACTCTAAGCCTGTGCATGTATATCCTGTGTGTAAAAGGGGAAAAAAAAAAGAAAAAACGCACTTCTAAAATGCAAGATTACCAATTGTATTGAAGACCACGTACTAGTCTTTTGTCTTCTGGAGGGGAGAGGGGGAAAAAAAAAGTTAATAGGTGGAACAACTCTTAAAAAAAAAAAAAAAAAAGTGCAGGTGGCAATTTTAGGTTTCACCAAAAACAAAGCTTTACATTTTCCTAAATTCACTATCATACTTGACACATGTTGTAATCAAGCAAATTTATTTTATTTCCAGAATGGACTGAAACAGTATTGTTTTCTGGTGTTCTTAGTGGAATGTGCCTTAGTTGCTGCTTTCATCTTCGTTGTAATTCCTGAGACAAAAAACAAATCTTTTCTGGAAATTAAAAAGGAATTTCAGCAGCTTAATTTTGGAAGAAATGTTAAGGAAAAGGAAACAGAGCTGTATGAAAGAAGACAACTCCATGATGAACTTTAGTTACAGCTGTCAAGTTGCCTTTTTTTTTTTAATAAAAATTATGGATAATTCTAAATTAGCTATAGCAAAATGAACAAGGAGCTTAACTCCTCTTGTATATTCATAAGGAGCTTAATTAAAAAGCAAGTTAATATTCTGAAATGTTATTTTAAAAAACTATGCACAGACTTAATGCTTAAACACAACTGGCTATTGTAGTAATGCAAAAATGCAGACGGAGAGGTGTTCAGTGGGTTTCTGTATTTCTTTACAGATTTCGTTAGACAGACAGTAAGATTCAGTAGCTTTTCTTTTTATTTCTAACACCGGTCTTCAGATCCAGATAATCAAATACATGTTAGCGTTTTACTGAAGAAGATATGACTATTCTGTGAACTTAAAATGAGAACTGACTAGATATTTCAAATATCTAGTTAATATAAAATTTGAGGTATTTAATTGCAGTTTTTCAATTAAGTAATTCATTTGAATGATTTCAGGATTCCTTACTCAGTCCTAACATTTTAACAATGCAAGAACAGTCTAGCCTATAGGAACATAGGCTGTAAAGCATTTATTTTAATTGTTAATAACAAAGTTAAGCCTCTTTGGATAAAGAGGCTTATTTTCTAACGGGTACAATAACAGTTTTGCATGGCTGATCTCCCGCGCTGCCATCCCCCTTTCCAATCTAGCACCTTTGAGACCTTCCAAACTGATTTGGTAGAACACATAGAGACTATACAGAGCTTGGAGGGCCTGTGGAATGAGCTTTCCACTTAATCTTGAACATTCCATAGGAGGCTTTTCCTCAGAATAAAAGAAATTCTTAACATACTAGTAGCTCAAAAATCTTAATTCCTTACTGTGGTTTTATGCCTGTTTGATACTAATTTCTGTAACTGTAACCCCTTTGAGGATGGTAGTCCTAAATTACTTATTACAATTGCAATTTTTCCTGCTTATAAGCATTTCCTGCTTCTACTTGTTATTTAATCAGTGCTGCATAAGCAGCATTTCTTTTAAGGTTAACCTTCTTTCAGAGTCTAGACTTTTAACAAAACAGAAAAACAGGAGGCAAACACCTTTTTTCCAGTTTTGGTTACTGAGTCAGATGTTTAATTGAAAATAACACTAACTCCTAACAGTAATGAAGGAGTATCAGGAAGGGATCTTCTTGCTCTTTAGTTTGTCCTCTAAGTTTGCAAAATATTTCATTTTAGCTAGGAGCTTCTTAGCTTCTTGAAGATCATCTGAAATGAAATAAAATATTACTACTACATAGAGGGCTGAATTTTCATTTTCAAGACAAATCTCAACATTTTACAGTTTCAGTATTAGAACTAAGAACTTAACATTGTAAGCACTCACACACTAAAACAGTGTTACATACTGTTTTCATTTCAGAAGGTTCTGAATTCAGATCGTTCCATAAAACATGTAAGAATGTCTGGGTCGAACTGCTTACAGTGCAAAAAAGAAATATAACACAAATACCCTTTAATGATTTTCCTGTGCAGTGGCTATGGTGTTGTCCCCAGTAGCAACTGGGGATGTTTAAGTGTGTGTATATATGTATTTTTTTAATGTATATGATTAGACAAGCTGCCATCATTGAAAATTCAAAAGTTTTGGTTCATACCAAACTGGATTGAAATAATTACTCCTTACTTAGGAATTGGAGAGGAAGGCAGTTTGTCTCCTCCTGACGAGGAAGATGCAACACCATCCTTAATCCTCACGGAACAAGAGGTGACAGTCTATACAGTTACGATTCTTCATATGCAGGTGTAGTCACCACTACTGTTCATAGTGTACTTTGTGAGTTAACTATTACAACATACTATATAAACCTAACAATAAAAGCATTCTGAGACTCTTCAGAAAAAATATTAAGCTTTCTTCCCTGAGTAATAAGCTAGCAGGGATTGGCTCAAGTTCCTGTCTGTCAGCTGGTCATGTTGGTCAAAGTTATGTTAGTGATGGCCAGGCAGTCCCTAAAACCTTAGGCCTGCCTAAGTGAGGCATCAGATCCTCTTTCTCTATACGGGTTCTGTTGCAACCAGCAAAAGCATTGCTGCAAAAACAGACAAAGAAGCAAAACTAAGGGAAAAAAAAAAAAAAAAAGTCCTCCCCTTCCCCCCCCCCCCCCAAAAAAAAAAAAAAAAACAGTACCCAGACAGTACTTTAATAGGATCAGGTCTTCTTTGCCCATATTTGGAGGAAAAAAAACAACATAAATTAACTTTTAAAAATCAAAAAATAAATAAATAAAAAAGTATGGAATGTGTTGAAATTGATCATTTTGATGCAATTAGAACTAACTGGAACTTTTGTATTAGAGCTTCTCCCCCCACACTCCTCCATAGGAGGTCTAAGACTAGAGGAAAGGTCAAGTTAGAAGTACTTATTTTAAACATCAACATGGAACACTCATCTGGGCAATGAATAGGTCAGAAAATATCTGCCAATAATTGAAAAAAAATCTAAGCATTTATTCCTGATATTATACTTAATGGAAATAACTACCTCTTTCAAAGGCTGCAGACACCTCCTTGGTCAGTTGTTCTTGTTTAGCTGTAAAGTGAAATTGTCAGAATTTGTCATACACTTAGTACATTTAATAATACTGCACTGTGATTGTGTGGCAACTTTACCATTTGTATCGTAGTTTTCTCTGAAGCCGAGAGAGCTTTTTATATTATTGCTGCAAATTACTTTTACTGTCATTTCAAACATAGGCTGCTTTCTTAACACAGTTAAGAACAGTGATGTCAGTGATCACTAGCTTTTTAGAAGTCTGACTGACTTTCACAATTTCAGTTCACTCTGTGAAGATTATTTTTCTTTTATTCTAATAACTTTTTATTTTAATTGTTTTTGACATACTGTTGGTATTATAAAGAATACATTAAAAAGTAATGAACTCATGTTTTGGATACCTTCAACCTCATAAAAAAGAAACTTGTTAGAGTAAGGATGGTGATTATTCCTAAACTGAAGAAAAATACTGTAAGTAGAGTATGGAGATAGTAATTTTGTTTGTAAATCATGTCATGGTTACTTGCATTAATATGTACAGACAGTAGTTTGCTGAAAGGTGCGAGTCTCCCCTGTAGAGAACAGTTTTGACAGAAAGTGTCAAAAGACACTTTCAAAGACAGTTCACGAAATATGTTATCAATTTCTCTTCTATATTCACCAAAATGCTCAACATTTTCAATTGAAGAGAGAACACAGTGAAAGTCTGTGAGTCTTTCACTGACAAACAACCACTTGTGGTAGAAAATATAACTCTAGACTCCATCACACAAGATTTCAGCGTATTATTTATCTCCTTGAAACCAGGAGATACCCACTTAAGTATTTTATTACACTTCATTTTGAATGGTTCTTTCCTTTAGAACAATGTATTTGTCCTTATGTGCTGAAGACGGAATAAGAATTTCCTTTTTATTTTCAATATACATATACCTATGCACCTTAAGAGAGAGCAGCTTCTCTTCATGTTAGAGAAGATGCAGGAGCATAAGTTAGTTCTGTACAAAACTGCTTGATTGCAACCTACCTTTAATTAAGGTTTCAGTTTCTTCAAGGTTACCCTCATTATTAGGCTCTGCTAATTTCTCATTAATTTCCATGATTTCCATGAGAAATTCCGAATCAGCATCACTGTCTGTTTCTTGTGTGGGCTCTATTCCATTTAGCTCCAGCTTGCAAAGAGAATTGGAATTTGGAAACAAATGCTGTTACATCAGTTTCAATGGAAATTATTTTCTAGAAATACTAAGTCTTAAAGTAGAGCAAACTTACACAGGTTCTTATTTGATAAACTATGTAGTATCAGAGTCTGTTAAAGTTAACTCCATAGGTAGACCCGAAAAATACTTTGTCAGGGAGTAAGAGTACAGTAATCAGAAAGTGATAGTGCAAACAGCAGCGCAGGGGAAGGCTGGTGAGTCTCAGGCAAGGCTGGTTTTGCCCCCTCCCCTCGTTCTCCAAGTTTCCGGAGCTCCTGCTCGTGGCAGTGGCCAGAGCTGCCCGGACCCGCGGGAGCCCTGGGCCGCGCGCGTGGATTCCTTACCAGGTATAGGCCGCGGCTGAGGGGGTGCAGGAGGGTCTGATAAGCTTTGTTGACCAGCGCGGAGTGCTGCTCCGAGTAGAGCCGCTCCGTCTGCCGACAGAAATCAGGAAACAAGTGCTCGGTAGCGCGTTATTGCTGGTAACGAAGGGCCAAGCACGTTCCGCGCAGCGCCCTGTAGAGACGCGGCACGCGAGCGCAACCAGGTATAGGCCGCGGCTGAGGGGGTGCAGGAGGGTCTGATAAGCTTTGTTGACCAGCGCGGAGTGCTGCTCCGAGTAGAGCCGCTCCGTCTGCCGACAGAAATCAGGAAACAAGTGCTCGGTAGCGCGTTATTGCTGGTAACGAAGGGCCAAGCACGTTCCGCGCAGCGCCCTGTAGAGACGCGGCACGCGAGCGCAGCAGAGGTCCGGGGGACGCGGAACCCCGGCGGCCCCCGCC